CGGGCACCGCCGGTAGGCAAAGGAGCTCGAACCGCCCGGCCTGCTTCGCCTGCCTGTCGTTCCAGACATCCGCGAGTTAATCGAAGTGGACGATGTCATGGAAGACGAATCCTTGAGGTTCGGTCTGGCGGGCTGGTGTTCTGCATGGAGTACTTCGCCAATAACTTCAGCTGGCTGGAGGAGAGCCTCGGGCACGTGGAGGATGACTACGTGCTGTTCGATTGCCCAGGTAAACAGAGGAGGTTTGGGACCCTCCTTCGTATGCAATATAAAACTTGTAGGGTTTGGGGTTTCTTTTTTGTTTCTTTTGTGGTAGTAGTCATTCACACTTATTTGTTTTTCATAATGAGCAGTTATCAGGGTCACTTCCATATGTGATTTTGGTCTCGGGCTAGTCTGGGTCACTGCTCTGTTTGTGGGAATGCCATGGCAATGGCACTTCTCTGTTCCAAGTTCATCCAAATATAGAGTTGTCTGAAAAGAAAGATGCTTTCCTTATCACCTTTTATTCATATTAAATGCAGTGCCCATATTTATATAAATAACAGCATCACATTTCTGCATACTAATGTCCTACGTGTGCCCTAGGTCAGATTGAACTCTATACGCATCTGCCTGTGATGAAACAGCTGGTGGAGCAGCTTCAGCAGTGGGAATTCCGCGTCTGTGGAGTTTTTCTTGTGGATTCTCAGTTTATGGTGGAATCTTTTAAGGTATCCATTCCAAATCTGTTGTAAAAGTTCGTATTGATAAAGAACGCGAAATCCAAGCAGTGTGGGGAGCTGGGTTTGTTTAGCCAAGAGGGAAGAACACTAAGCCGAGGGAGAGCTGAGTGCTGCCTTCAGCTGCCTCAGACATGGGTTGCAAGAAAGAAAGTTGCAGTTGAATGCAAAGAAAAAAACCCTGCATTGTGGGAGTGGTCAGACTGGAACAGGGGCGCAGAGAGATACTGTATGTACATTCTTGGAGATGCTTAAAACTTGAGTGAGCAAAACGCCGAGCAACCTAATCTGACTTTGAAAGCTGGCTCTGCTTCGCGTAGTGCTGCGGAACAGATAACCTCTACAAGTCCCTTCCCGCCTAAATTCTTCTGTGATTCTACAAGAACTTTCTCATATCTGGAGAGAGAGCAGGCCAATTTCCCCCGTATAGTAAAATTCCTCAGAAGGGCTTTGGTTTTTCTTCATGCCCCTTTATTGGCAGATCCACACGTGATGTTCTGGAAGTAAGATGGCAAACAGGAAGCTCAGCACCTCCCGTTTCCAACAGAGATAAGGACTCCCCACCTGGCCTTGTGGCCACGTTTCATATATTCATTAACTAGATTTGCTCTGTGGTTGAGTGTCCTGCGCATTTTTCTGTACCTAACGACATCATTTTCATACTCTTCAGTTTATCTCCGGGATCCTGGCAGCACTCAGTGCGATGATATCTCTAGAGATTCCACAGATTAACATCATGACCAAAATGGATTTGTTGAGCAAGAAAGCCAAGAAGGAAATAGAAAAGTAAGTTCCAAAAAAATTAGTGACTCTGTAGGGTAATACCTTGAGGTAAACTTCACTCAAAATTCAGTCTAATGTTTCTCATAGCTAAGACATATTCTTTTGGAATGGGAGAAGATGCATTTGCTTTATATCGAACGTAGTCTCTAAATGTGTGTCTGGCTAGCACATTTACAACTTAATAAGTTGAAAATACGCTAATAATATTAGTGTATTTACAATTTATTATTAGCATACTTAAAACTTACACTCTGCAGCCAAGGATTCTTTCAATGTTAATGATGACTTTGTTTCTCCCAGGTACTTAGATCCAGATATGTATTCCATGATTGAAGATTCTACAAATATATTGAAAAGCAAAATGTTTAAAAAACTGACTAAATCTATATGTGGGCTGGTAGGTATATTGCTTTTTGACTGGTACCCTTAAATTCAGTCCTGCGTTTATAAACCATACTGTGTGGCTGCTGACTGCATTGCTGTTCTAGATACTGTATGTGCTACAATAACTCTTCCCCCCCCACACTGAAACCGTGTGTTTATCTACCTGACTTAGCAAAGCCAGGATCCAAAAGATTTTCAGGCACTTGAGCATTTTACTTTTTGCCTATTTTAACTCAAGTTTTTGATTATTTTTTTTTTCAGATTGATATAAGATTCTTAATTTGGATTACAGCCAATACATTTTCTGTTAATCCTGTTCTCTTAGAAGTTTTGGAAAAAATCCTTATGTTTCTGGCTTTTTATACCATCTAGAACTTTGGACTGCGAGGCAGGCATTCTGCGTGGGGTCTTGCCATTGGGTTGCTGTGTGACTTTAAATGGTCACACAAAGAAGACATAAGTGTGGGTTAAGGAGGTGGCTTAGAGAGCTGTAATTAAGAACTAATTTATTGCATTTTCTTACTAACATCCTTCATATCCTTTCTCTAGATTGATGACTATGGCATGGTTCGATTTCTACCTTTTGATCGCTCTGATGAGGAAAGTATAAATATAGTTTTGCAGCACATAGACTTTACCATTCAGTATGGAGAAGACCTTGAATTTAAAGAACCCAAGGTAAAGTACTTCTGATGAGAAGAAAAATTAAAAAGTAGAAGTTGTAATACAAATACATTCTTTGCCTTGCTAATAAATTACTGGGTTTGTATGGTTCCAAATAAGCCAGGTTCAGTCATTTAGTGACAGTGCTTGTATTGTCTTCATTTACAATTACAAAACTGAAACTCTTCAATATTGTCTTGCATATATGGGCTCTTCCAATGGTTGTTTAAAAGTAATGCTTTGGTTTTCAAAAATAATGGAGTTTTAAACTTCAGAGCTCAGAAAGGACCGTTAAGATTACTGACATTTCTTCCTACTTGACTGTTCAAACTCCCCTCATAATTCCTGTGTTGAACCCATTTGTTGTATATGAGCTACAGGTTAGGAATCAATTCTATTATGTAAAATACATGGTAGAAAACTGCTGTGTTAAAATCTGCTCCAAGCCCTCTCTAGTTTTATTATTCAGCCCAAGTCCTAAGGAGTAAGTCCAGTGCGTTTATTTTGTTTCTTAATTCAGTTTTGTACCTGGGTTTAGTTTTTGACCTATACAATTTTGATAGCTCTAGAAACAAATTGCTTTTCAGAAAGTTCTGCTACCTGTTTTGTGGAACCATATTAGAGATTGCTCCTGTCATGGTTTCTGAATTAAAGCATCACAGAACAGACAATGTAAAACAGCCACTAGGGAAAAGTCAAGTTTTACATTTTTTTCTTTTATTTTTGGCAGGAATGCGAAGAAGATAAATCTGCACTTGTGGATGAATACTTTCAAGATCATGTGGATGAGTAATAAAATATACATTCAACAATAGGAGGAAAACAAAAAAAATCCACCTTGCTGGTGTTTAAAAAAAAAAGAAAAAAAATCCATTCCTACACAAACGCTTTCGGTTTTGTCTGTAAGATATAACTACTATTTATCGTGAAGAGTTATATGACCTTGTAACTATTTTAATAAACTGTTTTTATTCTTATGCGTGTGTGTTATTCAATACATAGGCTAGTGTTAGTACATACAGTTCCCCACATATAGATGTATCTTGTTTAGACATAGTAATGCTTGGCAAAAATCTAATGATCTGTAGAAGAGGCAAAGCCAAACACAAGTATATTGGAATAAATATTTATCTCCAGTAATGAGTGGTTAGTTTTATTATTAGATAAGAGAAAGAATTATTCGAAAGGATGAAAATTGGACTTTGTGCATTGAACCTGAATTAGGAGAAGAGATGACTGGCACCTTCAAAGGGACATTGATGAGTGGGTGGTCTTTCACCCTTCTTGAGAACATGAGCGGTTTACGTTCACTTTGGAAGAGCCCAGATTTCAAACCCTCTTAAGGTTGTTTTTGTAGAACTTGCACATGGCTTTAAGTGGTTTATATATTGATAACATTTTAAGCTCAGCTCTTATCAGCTTAAATTGAACTCAGTGATGGTCTCGTGCAATCGTGTTTGAAACTGTTCATTAACGAAGAATTCAGCAACATGTAAGTAAGCTTGAATAAATACTTGCACTATGGACATATGTTACCTCTATAGTACGTGTGGTACTTGAGAGGAGCAAAACTTAGCACCTTTATCTCTGCAGTATAAGAAAGACATTGAGGTGCTGGAGCAGGTGCAGAGAAGGGCAGCGAAGCTGGTGAAGGATCTGGAGAACAAGTTTTATGAGGAGAAGCTGAGGGAACGGCTTGTTTAATCTGGAGGAGGCTGAGGGAAGCCATTGCTCTCTGCGACTACCTGAGAGGCCTTGTGCCCATTTGCTCTCATCCTGTCACTTGTTACTTGGGAGAAGTGATAGGACGAGTGGAAATGGGCTCAAGTTGTGCCGAGGGAGGTTTAGATTACACATTAGGAAAAATTTCTTTGCTGGAAGGGTGGCAAAGCATTGGAACAGGCTGCCCAGGGAAGCGGTGGGGTCACCATCCCTGGAGGTGTTCAAACCAAACGTAGACACAGCCCTTTGGGGACACGGTTTAGTGGCCTCGGTGGTGTTGGGCTGACGGTTGGGCCTGACGATATTAGAGGCCTTTTCCAACCTTAACTATTCCACGAGTCTGTGCCTCTAAGCCCCATCCGAGCGAGCTCTGCGAG